GATACATATGTCACCACACTTAAAGAGCTGGCTAAGTCATGTGACTTTGGTCCATTGGAAGATGAGTTAATTCGAGACAAAATAATCGTCGGTATTAGATGTGATAGAACGAGAAAACAACTCCTAGAGCAAAGTAATTTAATATTGAACGATGCAGTTAAAACATGTAGGTTAAATGAAAGTACAGAATCAAGAATGAAGTCCATGTCAGTCAAGGATACAATTAACAAAGTTAATACTGACGGTAAAAGTGGTAAATGTCACACCAAGACTCCAGATAAGAAACTTAGATTCTGCAAATTTTGTGGTAAATCACACATATGGGATAGAACCAAGTGTCCTGCTTTTGGGAAAAAGTGTTCGAAGTGTGGGAAACTCAACCACTTCGCCAGCAAGTGTAAAATGCGTCGGGTCAAGGGTAAAACTGTTGCTTATGTCCATGAGTCTCATGGAGACGAGTCAAGTGATGACAGTGAATGGATCGGTAAGGTAGAAGATAAGCAGCAGAATGATTTAAAATGTAAGATGAAAATTAACAACCAGGTCATAGTATTTAACATAGACACAGGAGCTACAGTGAACACCATTCCAGTTCGATACGCATCAAACCTGAGACGTGAGGAAAAAACGTTAACAATGTGGGACGGGTCCCAACTCAAAACTTATGGTGTCACCAAGGAAGTTGTCTATAATCCAGCCAATGGCAAATATCATGACCTTCAATTTGTAGTTACCGAAAATGATAGAATCCCATTGATTGGTTACCAAGACCTAAAACGGCTCAACCTGATTCATGTCAACGAGCACAACATAGAACGAGTAGCACTCGACGAGTAGCACTCGTTCAATTGGAGGATTTTCCAGAGGTATTTAATAAGACTTCCATTGGCAACCTCCCAGGAACAGTAGCTCTCGTCGTCAACGCTGAAGTGAAACCTGTTATAATGCCTACTAGACGAGTACCGGTAGCGGTAAAGCCGAAATTGAAAGCAGAGCTGCATAGATTAGAAACACTTGGTGTAATTTCTAAAGTATCACAACCTACTGAGTGGGTTAATGCCATAGTGGTCATTCCTAAAAAGTCTGGGGAAATCCGGGTGTGCCTCGATCCGAAGCAGTTAAATAAAGCCCTGTGTAGAGAACGCTACATACTCCCAACACTGGACGACACGTTACATGAGTTAGGTCAGTCAACGATTTTCAGTAAAGCAGATCGTTCATCTGGCTACTGGCATATTACGCTTGATGATGAGTCCAGTTTACTTACTACGTTTCAGACTCCTTATGGCCGTTATAAGTGGAACCGATTACCCTTTGGCCTATCCGTATCGTCTGAGATGTTCCAGAGGAAGTTGCTTGAAGCACTTCATGACTTGAATGGAGTAGTATTTGTTGCAGATGACGTGGTTATTCATGGATCAACGAAAGAGGAACATGACAAAAATTTGCACAGCTTCCTCGACCGATGTAAGCATGTTGGAATCAAATTGAATCCTGATAAGTTTGAAAAAGAATTGGAGGAGATTACCTTTATGGGTCACAAAATAACCAAAGAGGGATTGCAGTCTGATCCAGAGAAGATTAAATCTATCTGTGACATGCCTCCACCTGAAAATGTTAAAGCAGTGCGTAGATTTTTAGGTATTGTCAATTATTTGTCCAAGTTCCTACCACACTTACATGATGCAGCAAAACCATTACAAGATCTTACTAAGAAAGATGCAGAATGGATCTGGGGACCGCCTCAGCAAGCCATGTTTGAGAAAATTAAACGCATGGTAGCAACGCCCAGAATATTGGCTTTCTTTGATCCTGAAAAAGAGTTAGTGCTGGAAAATGATGCTAGTGAGTTTGGTCTGGGGTCAGTGATCATGCAAAATGGGAGACCTATTGCCTTTGCAAGTAGGACATTGAATGACACCGAATGCCGTTATGCACAAATTGAAAAGGAAATGCTTGCAGTTGCATATGGGCTAACTAAGTTTCATCACTATACCTATGGTCGAAAGGTTGTTGTTAAAACTGACCATAAACCATTGACTAGCATTGTCAAGAAGAGCCTAGATAAAGCACCACGAAGGCTACAGAATCTGCTTCTCAGGGTACAAGAGTATGACTTCAATCTTATCTATGTTCAAGGTGCTAAAATGATATTATCTGATGCATTGTCAAGAGCACCTTTACTAACTGCTGAAGATACTGTGTTTGCTATGAGCAATCTGGCATTCACTGCAGTAACACCGGAGCGTTTGGATGAAATACGGAATTACTTTATAGGCCAGCAAAATAATTACAAAAATAACAGACAAATGGCACCATAAATTCTCGAAATTTTATTATTTCCTCAAATAAGTAATCAAAATTGCTATTACGAATAGGCCTCGGATAAACTACTGTCTCTTATACACATCTAGATGTGTATTTTTGGCCTGGTATGAGTAAAGAGATTAGACAATTTGTCGAAACCTGTGACATATGTGCGCAACATGGCCACAACAAACAGCCCAAAGAACCACTAATTAGTTATCCTCTAGCCACAAGACCATGGGATCTGTTTGTCAATAATGAGAGAAATTACCTTGTTACTGTGGATTACTTCAGTACCTTTTTTGAAGTTGATTACTTAACAGACACATCTTCATCGACTGTTATCACCAAATTGCAACACCACTTCGCACGTCATGGAATTCCAGATCAGGTGGTCAGCGATGGAGCTTCAAAGCTTTTAGCACAGCATGGGGATTCCAGCATATCTTTTCTAGTCCAGGTAACAGTCAATCCAATGGGGCAGCAGAGGCTGCTGTTAAAGTAGCTAAACGCCTTATGAAGAAATGCGCCAATGCTGGTGCAGACCCATACATTGGATTATTAAACATCAGAAATACACAAACGGAGGTTATGACGACAACACCCACCGAGAGATTAATGGGAAGAAAAACAAAGACCATACTTCCAACCACAAACAAAACTCTCACACCAATGTACGAAATCAACGACGACATTGAAAGACTACATGCCAAGCGCCAATTGTCAACAAAGAAACACAGTAACAGACCACAGTTAAAACCACTACAAATAGGAGATACTGTTCGTATGCAGCCAATTGAGTCAGGCAAAACCAAATGGCATGAAGCTACAGTAACATCACAAGTGAACAAACGTTCATACAATGTTGTTAATCAGGCTGGACGGACGCTACGCCGTAACCGTCGTTTCCTGCGAAAAGTACCAGCAACCAACCAAGAAGTTTCAAACAAGAACACAATCCACCTTAATCCACAACCTCAACAAGTAAACAAAAATGTGAAACAGAACACCATGCAGCATAAGACAAGAACTCAGCACCCAACCAGAAAAACTAAACGAACTGTTAGAAAACCCAGTTATTTAAAGGACTATGATTAACTCACTATTGCAATCATCACTGTTTATACAATTATGTGGACACTGTGCTTATATACAAACAAATCATAAGTGATGACCTTTCATACATTTTTTTTAAGCTGCTCTCTTCATAATCAATAGCCATATCGACATAATTCGTCATACCGTCATTGATGTTGTTGCAGCGTATTGCAATGCTGTGTTGCAGTTACTCATTGGATTCTTATACTGCATATGTTTTTCATGTTTTAATTTTGATATAAAATATAAAAAAATAAATAAATAAATAAAAAGAAAAGAAAAAAAAGAGAGGAAGGGAGATGTTACGTGATGGCCCGTTTGGCCGCCCATAGTTGTGAGGTGACATTCCTCGTACGTTGAGGTACGCTGTTGTTGTTCAATAAAGATGATGGCTGCAACAATGAGCTTGTGTGTAGCCTGACTGTATTGTTTACATATGAGTGTCTCCATCACGATACAATCATCAGGAATCCAAATTAAAGGTATGCAATCAGGTTAATAGTGACAGTTATTTTTGTACAAATTGCTATTGCACTTTATAAGTAGAAAATTCAATATATTCACACTATATTATAGTACTGCACAACAAAATATGTTATTGCGCTTTGTGTTAATATGTGCAGTAATTAGTGTGTAAATTTATTTTCATAAAAAAAGGTATGGGGTTTTAAACAATCTGTTCTCAATAGTAAGTTGATTCAGAGAAAATATAAATTTCCCATCATCTGAAAGTGTCTTCAAAAATACAAACAAGAATGCTAAACAAAACTGTCTGTAACAGCAGGGATGCAGAGACAAAATGACGAGTTCATCTGTTTCTATGTAGCTTGCATATCGATTAAAACCGGATAGATGTAAACATATCTCACCATAGTATCTGATTTTCATCCTGCGTCGTAACAATTAAAGAAGCTGAAAAGATAAATATAAATAAATTTTAATTAGGCAATACATAACAATATAATTCATTCTAGGCAATGGAAAGTATATATTAATTATATTGTGCGCTCACTTTTCCCTTGGTTTCGATGTGGTACAAATGGCATAACAGTTTTCATTCATTCATTCATTCATTCATTCATTCATTCGTTCGTTCGTTCGTTCGTTCGTTCGTTCGTTCGTTCGTTCGTTCGTTCGTTCGTT